TTTTTTCTATCCCACTGGAGGCCGACTCGGACTCATCCGGGGACTCCTCCGGGTCGACGAAGAAGAGAACGGCGAAAGAGAAAAGGAGCACGAAAACACCAACGTCACGCATAACCGGAATTCGACCGACATCGCGGTCCATACCGAAGAGACCAAAACGTGACAGACAGTATCCCCAGCTCAGGTTGATGATATGGTAAAGAGAGAACCCAAGGGCCAGACCACATATACGAACAAGCGGTATGACGATGAAGTTGGCAGTACCCCATAGGGCACCGGAGAGAACTCCGTACAGGAATATCTGCGGACCATCCCATTGCCCACTGAGCATGCCAACGACTTCCAATAGTATACCACCCCACACAATACCCGAGCACATGAACCATTGGAAGACAGCACCATCGTAGGTGCAATACTGTTTACAAGGTATATACTGCAGACCGTATAATATGGCTGCTAAGATTGTACAAGTGGTACCAACTCCGAAACCTACCATTTATTTGACCGTGGATCACGGCTATAGAGGCTAGAAACAAAAACAAAGTAACTGATTAGGACGTACATGTTGGATAGACTGACATATGGTTGTCGAACTTCACGTTCAAAAGGATTTTTCACGTTTGCCGAGGAAGACCCCGGTTCGATCCCCGGCGACGGCATATTGGAATTGGAGCTGTCTACTTTGTTGTGTTCATCATGTGACGTTCCTGAAGGTTGCGAGTTGCCAATGAGTGTTTTGTATGCCCTGGGCACTGCAAGGATCGCCTACGTCGACGTTGAGGAAAATCCGAAGGTTCGATTCTTTCGAGTTCCGCACTCCCCCACATGCACTAGCATCGCACTGACAGCGTTTTCTTTGTTTGCTCAGGAGCTGACGATCATACTGTGCGATAGATCTTTCTCTTTCGTCTCTATCCCGAGTAGGCAGTATACCACGACATGCTTAGTCGTTTTATACTACCTGTATGCGTGTGAGTATGTGGCGTGGAAGGCGTTGATGTCCCTCTGTGACACCTGTCCGCTGTATATCTTTTTTTCTCGCGAGTTTCCATTCCGATACGACAATGTTGTGCATGGAGTTGGCTGTTTTAACTTCCCATCGTCAGCTGATGAACGTTCTCGGAGGGTGACATTGTCGCAGGTTATCTATTCGACTTGCAGAGACCAGACGTAAGTCTTAGTCGCTGACGAAAACGGCTCTCTGTGTGTGAGAGCAAGCATTCAGAATCTCACTTGAATGTGCAGTGAAGTGACTTCACTAAAGTTCGTCAGAGAATCTTTGGGAATGATTTGACATCGAGGTAAAATGGAAGTTGGCGAGAAAAGTAGACTTATGCGGAGTACAGTAGTGTACCTCGCTGTATGAAGTATCTCATAACACTTGGTCAGTCAAAGCCTATCGCAACTCCCACAGTTGAATCTCAGGCAGGGATCAATTCGGACAAAATGTGAATAGGTTTCACTTGTTTAAGGCAGTTTAATCCCAATAAATACAGTTATCAACATAGAACATGGAACATGCAGCATAACTCTCGATAGTGACGCGGTTCAGGCTATCCCCTGTCACCGCTTGTTGTTTCTAGTCATTCTCATAACGTATGGAACGTCAAACCATCATAATAGCAACCATAACGATGAGAACTCAATGGAAGGCTACGACCAATCAATCACCTACCCTTGTTGGTTACAAGTTGTAGCCTTTAGGGGAGAGGCGTGTGTGTTGGCACTATCGTACACGCGCACAAAGAGACAGTGCTCATGTCCTCCATTCGAACAACAGTTTGTAGTCCAATTCGCTACTGAGGAGACTCTCCATCTATGGTCGAGTACCTGTGGATCACCTCTATGTCAAATGTCTGCATCGAGACATATAGACGCGGTACATTCACCATTCCGCCCCCATTTCTCCATCGGGCACTATACTCTTCCCGCTCTGTGTTTGCGTGCTATTCTCTTCTTGCAACTCACGTCACAGCCGCGGCTAACGAAAGGTTCTCACATTAGGTGAGTTCCCACAGTGAGGACTATAGAAAATCATTTCTGATTGTTATGCA